GAGAGCCCGTCATCATTAAACAATGACGGATATGCATCACCCAAGAGTCATGATTTTGGAGTGATGAATCTTGGTACATCGTGTTTGCTACAAATGACACTTCTGCCTGGATTAAAATTTTCAGTATCACACACAGCACTAAGACATTGTAACCTCTTGGAGAATCTTTTCTCGTTCACTAGAATCTTACAAAGAATAGCGTCCTGTTCGTACTTTAACAATGCGTGTAACACAACCATAACATAACACACCAATTTCTTAGGCATCTTTTACAAATAAAAATACTTCGAAAAATGGAGAGTTTATATTACAAATAAAGCGAACAGGGTAAGCACAAAAGAAACTTTACTCAATCACTTGTAATTCCCTGTTATGTAGGTACATACTTAAGTCTTCTTCTTCTTTTATTAATGGCATATCAGCGCATTTCACACAATTTTGCCAATGTGAAATGAATAAATTAATTCCAACAAGTAAAATTAATTAAAGATTAATTAAAACATTAGTATCTTTACTCTTTGTTGTAATGACAGTTTCTGTCAGGTGTCATGTCTCCATCTACTGACAGGGGTGAGGGGCGTGTGGAAATGTCATACATCACTGGACCCCTACGCGATTGGATTATTGTAGGGAGTTGAATTGAATTTAATCAAACTTACAAATTTAAATTTAACCACGTTTTACACGTATAAGTACACGTTTTAAAAGAAATAGTTATTATATGTGCATTCAATTATAAGATTCTTAAACCGTGACGTGGCATTTCATGCCGTGACGGCTCATATTAATAAATATCTCTTTACACTAACTCGTTTTGTATATTAAAATGTGGCATCATACAATGCTCCGTCATGGTAAATCACAATTTTCAAAAACAATATATACTTACAATCCATACCTACCTATTTGTACTTCAAAATAATTTATTTTCTATTACGTCGACTTCGTACAACGTTAAGTTCTATCTATCTTCCTTTTGAAGCGTCAAATATGACATATTATAATGATCTAAGAACCCAATTGTACTTTTTCTTTCTTTATTAATGGCTTATCTGCGAATTTCGCATAATTCTGACAATATCAAGTGAATAAATTAATTTCTAAACGTAAACTGAACTGAATGAAAGATCGACCCAACTGTAAAATTATTTTTTCTACTAACACCAGAGTCTCCATACAACTGCGTCACTGTTAGTGGTGGACTAAGGGTGGGAGGGGCGGTCCTCCCTGGGCCTCTTGTCCTGGAGGGCCTCCAAATGGCTGCAATTTCCCTTGTTCTAATCATAAATTTGGGTTGTACTGACTTTTCTTTTCGTAGTTTTAGCAGGCGTCTTAGCAGGACGGGAGGTATAAATGCAATATCAAGTTTCTGGAAAAAGTACGTTCCTGGCCCCCCACCCCCGACGAGTTTATCCGCCACTGGGTCCTTATAAGGAACTATACTAACCTGACGTTATAAGGAACTATGAAAATTGTTTCCCTAGTAAACGTCAGAGGCGCCCTACTTTAGGTACGTAAAAACATGGCCTATTTTTTATAGGCTCTTTTTGTAGATGTTGTGGCAGATTTTTAAGAGTGTCGGGCGCACCCGACAAAAAAATGGAATTTGTTTGCATTTGCGTCTTGTTACTCGTACAGTGGTGCTACTGGAGGACTACCACGGAAACAATCGGTCATTATTTGGACTTTGAGAACAGACAATGGTCTCTCCGTGGGAAAAGTAAAGTAGCGAGCTTGTGATATAAAAAAAAGTTTATAAAACCAGACTTCACATTTTATTAATTTACTTTCAACATGGCGTCACATATTATCTACTCAGCGCAACATACATTTTGTAATAACTCACTATTAACATAAACGGTGCCACATTGCCACAAACATTTTGGACTATCCATACAGACGTTGGGATCTTGTATATCAACCCATCCGTGTACAGACTCTAGTTCATAGTTTTTCCATTTTTTCTCATTTTCCGGAATATTCGTCGAGCGTTCATGAAGATATTTTGTCAGCTTTTCTATTTTTTCAACTGCCGCTACGCTGATGTTGTCTACTGCTGATTCTTGGGACTCTGGCGCATCAGAGACGTCCATACGATTCTCGAAGGATAGACGATCCCACGTACCGACTGAATCGTCTCCAACCGATAGAGCTGGTGTCGCAGCTGTGAAAATTTTTAACTCTTACGCACCTATAAAAGAACAAGTTTGTGTTACCTGACAATCCTAAATAGCGGGCCTCTAAAAGTTCAGAAAATAAGTATTTATGTTGGATTTGAAATAATGCTGTTGCCGTTTGAAATGATTACGTGACCACTTACTTCAATATTAGTTTTTTATGTGTCAGTACGCCGGGGAATTAAAGGTTTATAAAGATCAGTCTCTTAACTCCAATCACTGATAGGGATTCATGTGAAAAATAACACACGTTAACTTACACTTCCTTGTCTCATTAGGTTGCGTCCATTCAGACGTATTTCCGCACCGGCAAAATGACTGCTGTCCATCCGCCATAAATACAAATGGTGATGGCGCGTTCTTAGTTCCCGCCATCATTTCTCGCATCGTCTCAGCAAACTGTGCGTTCGTTTGCCACTGCTCGAAACAGTTCTTAAAGAATTCTGTGGGCTGGTCACGGTGTCTGTTCATGATATGTTTATGGAAGCATTCCTCACAGAATACTTGACCGTAATAAATCTTCACGTTGTTTTTTGGCACCTCGTGGCAGATGTCTGTGTCGAAAAATTTTTGTGAATTCTAAAGTATATACATGCAGCCGGCACGACAGCTTTCCACAATTTTGTCGAATTTCTTTAATTAATTTTAAATATTACCATCTAAGCAATAAGACTTAAAATCAAGTGACGAATTTTTACAGATTTGTGTAGTCTGACGTGCTGTTAAGTGTACGGCTGTACCTATTGAAACAATCAATATAAAGAAGACTATTCTCCTTAATGAATATGTATACTATAATATTAACGCCTTCCATTTGTAGTTCCTTGCTTGAGAGGTCTCCCAAGGAAGACAAGATACTCTAGTACTATATCGCCACTTGGCTCCCCTTAGATTTCTTAGTAGCAGCAACGTCATGAACAAATAATTTATATTTGTCGATAACGTCCACGTGCGGGGTCCGGATATGTGTAGCTTGATTTTTATTGCTTGGTTCCGTATGTTCTATTACTGCCATAAGTATATAGAACCCCTGAAGGAACTCGAGTAATTAATGGCAAAACAGTGTAAAGACTAAATATCATTGTAAATATCTTCTCTGAGTGATTAGCACGAGAAAAGAAGTTGACAAGAGCTTCAAACGTCACTCACAGCATCGTGCACATTGTGTATGGAAGCTCTGGCCCCCAATCACCACCTTGTTGTTGTCGTTTACAGACTGCAGGCAACGCGCGCATATACAACGTTTGCATGGCTCTTCCGGCTGCGTTGAGTCCTTGGATTCTGTGAAACACGGATTTTTTGTTAGCTTGCTTATTACTGTCCATTTGTTTCTAGTTAGCCATTTGCAACTGTTAGTAAATAATGTTATAAGGAACAACAGCTATCGTAGACTGCGAATAGTAACGAGAAAGTATTTTTAAGAAAAAATGGCAACTAATTTTTTTTTTTAATATTTCCTCATTGTATTAGTATTGATTTAGTACAACTAGTCATTGGAAAAATTCAGATCCAAGATCTACCTACCTTCACCATTCTTATTGTCTTTCGCAGTTTGTGACTTCATTCCAGGGGCCCACTGCATCCACCAGCTGTTGCTGTACATACGAGGGGATTCCCCTTTAAGTCTTGACATCACATGCGTATTGAAGCAGTCACTGCAGAACACATGTCCGTAGAACATTTTCAGGGAAGTAGGGATTGTTCGACAAATACCTGGACAGTAATTAATAGAAAAAATACTATGAATATAATTTGTGTTTTTAATTATCTTGTGATTATTTAACATAGTGATATATATATATATATAGATAAAAAGTCCTAGCCTCATGCTCCCTCTTATAATGAATAATAATACTAATCCTATATTTAGGTAGGTACTATATTGATGGGGATTGACCACAGCGAGTGAAGGAATGGATCGTACCTTAACGCGTGTCGCACAATGATAGCAGAATTCGTTGATTGGTGATTAAATTTGTAAAGCGACAACGAATCTTCTGCCCTAGGGGTCAACCAGGGTTGTCATAAACTTGTCAATGATTATAGGCTATAAATATGTAGTAAGTTCTTTAAAATAGGTGACAAATACTTACAGCACATACTACAAAGTCGATGAAAGTTTTGTCCTTCGATATCAACTTTGTCATTAGGATCAATGGGAAGAAAGCATCGTGTGCAAAAGCATTTTTTCTGCGACTCCTGTGATTTGTCCATTTTTATTTACCTTAAAATTTTGATTTAACTTTTAAAACTTAGCTGTTTTATTAAAATTTTGATTCAGCAAATTTACGGGTTTGTGATGTAAATAAAATTTAAACAAAAGAAGAAGAATTTCCTTGACAGAATATAATTTAAATTATTATTCTTTTGTGCCAGGCTATTAAGCCTCATTTATTACTTCCACTTCCTCCTGCCGGTTGTTGTATTTAAGAGTTATCCTAGAAGCTTTTAGAATGAATCAAAAGAACCTAGGAACAAGATATCCTTATACGGTTTATTTTATTATTGTCAGACGACTGTGTCCGATAATTTTCGAAGCCCATTATTAATCTTGAAGTACTTTTATATTAGTTATCAATGGCTAATTTGCGACAGAATTGTGATTGATGAAAAGTAGTCATTCGAAAGAGATACCTTCGTTCAACTTTATGATAGTGGTATCATACCATATCGTAATAGGCATGTGCCAAGCAAAAACATAGTCTTTGTTAGAATAGTACGAAACGACGATGTAAGATGTTTTGCCCAGAGCAGTTTTCGTTTTTGATGAATTCCAGTATATTTGCGAAATCTTTAATAGTCTTGCAGGCAGGATCCCATTTGGCGAAGCTAGTCGACACTAGCCGTAATATTGCTATCCATTTAAACTAAGTAAAATACTGATTGAAATAACGAGCCTTTGTGCTATTTTTTTACAAATAAGAATAATGTATTCGAGTATAACTCTATGACAAGTGTTTAAATGTTGTTTGTTTGTCTATTTGTAGATTTTATATGCATTTTTCATTTATTTATGTGTATAAAGTATGTACTTACAGATATTTTTATAAACAAAATTGAAACTGTCTCTGTAAATAAGTTATTGTCGACTGAAGATTTTTATAGTCACATCGCTATGCTGAAATGACAGCATCAACCATCGATTCATTGATTTTGCAGCATCACTAGTAAATGCCTATGTGTGTAGTGGAAGTTCGTTGTTTGTGTTATCTATCATGTTTTTATCAAAAAAGTGATGTTTACGGACTTGTTTGGGATAAAATCTACACATTTTCAGTGGTAAAGTAAATTTCCTATCTTATCTTAGTGGTTTTGTTTGATAAGAGTCGAGTAGAAAACAGTTTGCATAGGTTATGGCGGTAGGTATTTTGTCTCCGAGACAAGCCCATGTTTTTGCACTTTTATCATAGAAAAGGCTGCGTAGCGCTTGAAATAACCTTGTTATGCGATAAAAGGCCCGCATATAAAGTTTTGTATGTAATTTACCGTCTTGAAAGCCTTAGCCTCCTAATGGTAACGAATGACTACTGGTATTTCGGACGTTCAACTTTCGTTATATGACCCAAATGTTTTGTTTTTTCATGAATGGACGACCTTCGACATAACGGCGTTTCATCTGATACCGCATTTTAAATGTAATTCAAATAATTATTTATTAGTTATTATTTCTTGGCTTTTTTTGGAGTTAATTTTAGATTATGTTTGCTCAAATTTAACTTAACCGTCACTTAAAAATGTTTTTTGGCATAATGCATCAAACAAATCTCTAAGTATAATAGTCAAATTAATACAATACAAGAAAATGACTTTGAAAACCATGTTTTTATTGTATTCCTCTGTTATAGTGAAAGAATGTGTAATTTTTTGGCATTATAACTTATTATTTGTGTCACATGTTTAAGTGTGCACTTCACCACTAGGTTTTCAAGCACAGTTGTAAGGAGCATAGTGACAGAAATAATATAGCAGAATAAAAAATCAACAGTATGAACCTAGTTTTAAAATAATGTGCACTTTTCAGTTTATTTTTTGATAAACTATATACATTTTGTTATATTATATTTCCTTTGTCTCTGAATAAAAAAGGCTTTATTATTATTATATAGGATACATAATTATGTTCCTGTTAGATGAGATTTAGAGAAATGAATAAACTTATTGAAAATGAGGACTAGCAATTGGTATAAACCATTGGCTGCTTAGAGAAAATTTAATTTATCTAAAGTAGGTACACTTGCAGATTACAGTCAACACATGACTTTGACAAATTTATCCGATAATTAGACTAGACAGTATTCAAAATTTGTGTACACAGCACGATCCACTTATAATTTTCAAGAGGTCAGTCTATATCATAAAATTACAAAAGTGACAACGACAGAAGAGAAAACGTGAAATTAATTCAGTTTAATGCTAACACTCATCCCTTTACTGCAACTGATGTAGTTGAGGCAATACATCCATGGACACATGCTAAAATTATATTTTTTTGAAAAAAAAAAAATGAAGTATACTTTTAACATTAAAGGTTGTATCGCCAGTCTATTAATATTGACATTCATTATACCATATGGACAAAGATTTTGTTTAAAAAATGTATAATAACAATCTTAGGCTTTGAGACTGTTATAGGTATATAAAGTATTTTTCTGAAAGGTCTTTATTAATAAAGAAGAAGAGATCAAGATTTAATACTGAAATAATTAATACTACATAATAGTTAATACATTAATACTTAAATAATTATTAAAGATATTCAAATTATAAAAATAAAATATAATAACAAAATCATAATAACTAAAATTAAATCAGAATGCAACCAAAATGTCATAAAAATATGATCACAATCAGAATGGTACATTTAATTTATCTCCACCCAAAGGCTGACTGGCAGATGGTTCAGAATGATTTAAGTTCATCTTTTACAACTGTGCATTAAATAAGTTAAATATTAATTTTATCTGTATGTGGATGGTAGTCTCCAATACCATTGGGCGTATTCAGCAAATAAATATGTTCATTGCTTTAAAGATATATACAATAGAATTTTAATTATTTATTTAATATATGTAATAGGGATGATAACAAAATATATTTGGCTCTCTGTCACATAGATAATTGAAAAATATTAAACAGAAGCCTTTTTTATTTTTTTCATAATTAATTAAAGACGGTGATACATTGAGTTAGAATGTCACATGATGTCACACTTTTGTACATTTTCTACAAAGCTGTGATATAGCGAGCCCCCACTCCTAAACTTTAGTGCTGGTTGTCTAAGCTATTTCTTGTTAAATCTAAATACAATTTCTATTTTTTTTACCCAGGATCATCCCTATTTTCTAACTTATTAAGGTGTGTTATAGGTGATAATACTACAAAAATGTACAAAATATTAGCATCAACAAATAATAAGATACAAAATCACATTGAACTTTGTATTCAAAAACTTAATATTATTTTCAGAATGGTTCATCTGAATGTCAAGAAAAGAAAAATGTCCCGCCATGAGAAAGCAAAAAGTGGCTTTGTGAGTATTTTTTTTTTTTTCATTATTACACATTGAACATGCAATGGGTCGTAAATATATCTTACTAATATTATAAATTCAACAGTTTGTGTCCTCACAAAGGAAAATAAGTTTTCTATTACATGTTGTGCTGTAGTCTGTATGATACATGCAGTTGTACGTAATTATTTTACATACCTATAAAATATATTTATATGTATTTTATTATTTCTCTTCAGTATCAAGTTAATGACTTAAACACGACTATGAGATCACGAAGTAAGGTGAGCAAAAAAACGAGGCAATCTTTTCCTACTTTATAATCACCATTTATTTTGGATTGTTTGTTTTACAAAGATAAGGAGACAGCAATTTATTTTTCTATCATTTACTTTCACAAATAAAATATGTTATAATGCGATGTTAGTGAAAATCAAAATTATCAATAATTAGTTTTTTTTTTCAACTTCAATCTTTATTTTATATTGGTATAAATATCTTCAAATTACAACCTTCTAAAACATTAACCTCTGTTCGTCCAGTTCGCTCCTTCCCATATTCATGTCAAAAATAAACAAAGCAAACCTGTGAAAAGTTTAATGTATACGAAATATTAACAATTTGAATACTATTTATTATATACAACGACTCAAATGTTTTTTATTTCATTTCGATCTTAATTGCCGCTGTTCTCTAAAAAAGCTATTGGACCAATCTTGTGCAATTAATTAGGTATGTTAATATTTATAAGTGAATTTTTAAGTAGTTTTGGAAACAGGACAGCCTAAATAAATTTGTTTGAAGTATTTTTTATTGTTATACAATATATTACATTTTTATGATCCTGACCCTACCAACCTAGACGTAGTATGTAGGTAAACGTAATGTTAACATACGGGAGTAATCGTTATCTTACTTCCTATTTATTTCAGTTTTCAGATCGACTTTTAACAGTTAAAACGTATGTTTTTTTTTAATTATGTGTCTTGTGAGTTGCATGTGGTTTTGAAAAGAATATACTTTTTTAATTATCCGTGATATAAGTGTGAACGATATTAACTCTTAACAATAGAATATCAATATAGAATTTATTAAAACCTGAAATTTGTCTATTCTCTACTACCATTTTATTGGATTATTTGTTTACGATATGGTGATATTATACGATGAAGATTGTTGATTCATATAAGAAACTAGTGACCGACTTAGTCTGCGTTTTCCATTATTTCTTCGCTCCTAATAGCAGCGTGATGTTATATAGCCTAAAGCCTTCCTCGATAAATGGTCTATTCAACACAAAAATAATTTTCAATTAGAAACCAGTAGTTCCTGAGATTAGCGCGTTCAAACAAACAAACTCTTCAGCTTTATAATATTAGTATAAGAAATTGTGTAGGACCAAAGATGCTACCCTATGGCACGCCATATTTATGTATATGGCACTATGTATAGGGCACTAGCCAATTTTTGGGGATAGAAACGTAGAACAATGCTAATTTGTGGGTGCTATTAACTACAGATAGCGGGAACAACGATGTTGTGTGCGTTCTGAAGCACGAAAAACCGCAAAGCTGGATTCTAGGCTCTTCCCTAGAAGTAAAAGTACATCGAAATTCGTTTATGCCACATCGGATTCAACTAGCCTTCAAGTGGCTTTGAGCGGATGCACAGTCTCACACTTTACCCTACCGCTTAATAGACCCAGAGATATTATATAATGCATTCCCTCTAAGACTGAAAAAAACCATAGGCCGGACGAACACAGATACAATGCCCAAATGCAACCGCGAAACAGTGAAGCTTGAGCGTATTTTTAAAGGATTATTATAGATCGTGATTCGCAACTTGTTTTACTTTATTAAAAACATAACGGTTTTTGAACACAAATATTAAAACTGAAAATACGTAGTGATGAACATTGCAGCGAATACTGTACGTTTCAAAGGATTTAATCTCAGAAAAGAGTTTGTCATAACTCTATGAAGGGCTTACGTCAGTCTTACATCAGACACGACTATGTAGTAAAAGTGTAGGGTATGGTTTCGCAAATTTAGTTATAGACTGTTATAGTGTATATCAAAGTTTGACCTTTATAAGTTGTGATTCCACAATAATATAGGGCCTATTTCGGCAAATGATCGGAGTAAAGTACATATAAATCCAGGTTTTGTGTTTTTTAGGGCTCGGTGTAAATATTTCGTTTATAAATGGGTTTCTTCGTCAAAAAAGTTTGAATACAATTGGTCAATTGTATTTTATATACTTAAAATTCTTAAGTCTCATTTGCATTGATTCCGAAGCCGAGATGGCTACTATCATAGTATTAAAACATCTGTGCTAATATCGAATTTTACATTGTTTTTAGTACATAATTATTTTTAGACGAATCGAGTATTTTGTAGGATCTATACCCTTTTCTATTCTAGTCCTCTGTATTAATTGTAAATTCTAAATTATAATGAGAGTATTTATCTATCGGTTTTATTACAATACCAATCATATGTAGGTTTGATGGCCCTAATACTACTAACGTCAGCTCAGAAATGTTTATAAACACCAAAATCATAGATTACTATATTCCTTGTGTACTATGAGATCTATTTGTAAACGGATGACGCTTCAATGTTAGGTTTATCTTACGATCAAATATTCAGTTTTTACTGTTAGCCTCGGATCGACATGAAACTTTATTGTTATCCCTTTGCATTTTTTTTTATATAAATATGTATTTAGAATCTGTGTATAAAGTGCCGTATGATTTTTTTTCAGTCTATGTGTTTGAAACTTTCTTGTATTTTAATATACGTAATTTTGGTTTTTATAAGTCGCTAGTAGTTTTCTAATGTTGATAATTTCAAAAATATTTGTTATCAGTATCTTTAAGTCTGCGTTGTGAATGTTTGTGTATGTTGTTGTAGTGTTATCTTGGAGCTCCCATGGCCATATGTCAGAATGGAGGTTGTCTAAACTTATTTTCTTATTGCGGTAGTTTTTGGTCAAAAGAATGTTCCTCTTCATGCTGTTCTAGACCATGAATTTATTGTTATTGAAAAATAAAATAAAAACCCTCTTTCAATTAAGGTCAATACTCCCGATCACGACTCAAGCTTCAAGTGACTCCATTGTGGTGTAAACGTAATAATGGAATTTCTGTTTTATCACTTTTTTTTATCAGTCGCTATCGTTAGATTGCGATATCAATAATTGCTATATTTAGTCGTCTTTTTCACTTCACGGGCTTCAAATGTCCATAGAAAACTAGGTTAGTGATTGAATTGTAGACATTCTCAAATAGAATGTTTGTATAAATGTGTCTAACCTTCTTAGTGATACAAATGAACAATTATAAAATAGTAAAATAATAGTGAAAAGAATTATAATTAGGTGAAGTTATAGTTTTCTTTCTGGAGGAGGTTTTGGAAGATAAGGTAGTGAGTTTTTAAGTGAGGTGATGAATAAGGGAATAGATAAATCGAAAGATATTAAAAAGAAAATCTTATGCACAATATTTCGATGGGAAATAAACTTCATTTTATTAACCGACTTCTTATTCAAGATGAATTTGTCACTTTCATAGTAGATAAATTCAGGTATAGTTTACTTATTCCTCAATTTCCAATAGAATTTTTGTTTTGGGAAATGTCTTGCTATTAAGGTATAGTATAATATGTAACCTAGTGAAAAATCAACACATGAAGTTAAGTCATTGGAAATTCGAAATGAGTATAAAATAGCATTTTTATTTTCATTTGATTTCGCTTTTAAGGATAAAAAATGTATAACGTATAATATATATAAGTATAACGTTTTTCTGCACATCAATGCTTTAAAAGTAAATTCATGTTATCGATATGTATAAAAAATCTCTATCTGCATTGAAAAGGATAAGAATCAAAATATAAAATCAGCAGAGTGCATACAATTTACTTGTTTTTTATTACTATACCACAGGGTAGGAATTTAGGACCACTTTTATTTATTCATCATATAAATAGTGAAGTAAATTAGCTGAAATGGGACTAACAGTGACTTTAAAATTTAATATAGAACAGTAACAGTGTAGTGCAAAGTGATACAATGAGTGAACCACAAAAAGTGTACACAAGTCAGACGCTCCCTCGATTACGGAGAAAGGAGACATGGAGGAAGAAAAGGGTTTGTATTTGATTATTACTATAAGTCATAATTAATAATCTGGTTCATTTTTATATTATATTATTTTAACAGGCAATGTTCTTGTATGTGCCACATACGAGGGTCAAACTGAAAGTTCTTAGAACTGGCCACTTATAAACAATATAATAAAAAAATAATTCTAAAATTTGAAAATATAACTCTTTGCCAATATTACTGAGTATATATTTCATTCATTTGTCATTTGTTTTACGATTTGGCGGCAAATTGAAAATTGTCTGTGTCACGTCATCATGAATTTAACACGAGAAAATTTTCGTGCAATGATTTTTTATGACTTTCGATGTCATTTAAGTCAACAAGAAAGTTATGATAGACTACGATTGGCCTTTCACGATGAAGCCCCATCTCGTGCGACTGTTTACAACTGGTTTAATGAGTTTAAACGTGGTCGCACTAATCTCACTGATGATTTACGTGAGGGACGGCCTTCTACGGCGACGACTGAAGATAACATCTGTGTTGTGCGGCGTATGATAGAGACTGACAAAAGAGTGACCTATCAACAGATTCGGACAAGCTTAGGCATCGGTATGAGTCAAGTGCACAAAATCCTCCACGAACATTTAGCGGTCAGGAAGCTTTGCGCCCGGTGGATACATCATAATTTGACTGAGGCTCAAAAACTCCATCGTGTGGATTGGTGTCGTAAAATGATTGAAAGATTTAACGGAGGTGACTCAAATACTGTGTTCGACATACTAACAGGTGACGAAAGCTGGATTTACTGTTATGATCCTAAAACCAAAAGACAATCTGCTCAGTGGGTGATTCCTTTCGAGGAGTTGCCAACTAAAGTGAAGAGAGATCGAAGTGCGGGAAAAAAA